CAATATCTTTTCTCTCGCCCCGGCAATGCCGGGGCGTCCCGGGCTCCCTTTCCCCCCCCCTCTCGGATTTCTGTTCCTCTCTTAATTTACCGTGAAGGCTAATTCCATTTCCATTCACGATATGTCAACCATCTCATCTCCCCATTTTGTAAGAGGAATTCCTGGGCCCTTTTAAACAAGCCCCCGCGCCATTCAGCCACAATGTACCGCTACAGCATTCCGAAAGGACTAATGAATTTAGAATTAGCAATTTCTTTCTAGTTGAGTTTAATGAATGCAGATCACTTTAACAGCATGACAAATTGCTGGATGGGCCGAAATAGACACCATTTAACCCCCTTTCCCAGCCCCGCTCCCTCGCCCAGCCCGGGCTGCTTTTCCCAGGTACCTCCTCGATGCCCCGGCGGGAACCTTGTACTGCTTTGTAGGAGCAAGGCTGGGCGGCTAAAAGGCTCAGAGCCAGGATTTGGGCTGGGGCCGGGGGTGGGTGTCCCCCCTGTCCTAGCCAGGATGTGGGCTGGGGCCGGGGGTGGGTGCCCCCCCTGTCCTCCTCCTCGGGCACCCCAGGGCTCGGTGGGCGGGTGGAGGGTGGCCGGTCCCCGTTCCGAGCCCTCTCCCGCCGCCCGCAGAGGTGCAGAAGCTGTCCAGCCTGGTGCTGCCGTCGGAAGTGATCATCGCCCAGAGCTCCATCCCCGGCGAAGGGCTCGGCATCTTCTCCAAGACCTGGATCAAAGCCGGCACCGAGATGGGACCGTTCACGGGCAGGGTCATCTCGCCGGAGCATGTGGACCTGTGCAAGAACAACAACCTCATGTGGGAGGTAACGACACCCAACCCTCCCGCTTACCCCCAGCCCCGGCTGGCTCGGGGGGAGGCAGGGACAGGGTGCTGGGGCCCACAGGCTTTGTCCCCTGCTTGCGTGCCGTCAGGCACCCGCCCCGTGCCTCAGTTTCCCCCTTCAGGCAAAGATCTGGCTTCTCCCAGGGCAAGTGGGTTTAGGGGACCCTTGGGGTGCAGCCAGCTCTTGGAGGAGCCCCGAAACGCTGCTGCTCGTGTCCCACGCAGTGGACTCACACCCTGCCCTGCCCTTCCCGGTGAAAGCCCCGGCTGGCACCTGCCCGCACCGTGCACAGCGGGCGCAACCAGCACTGCCCCGTCCCAGCCCCGTTACCCTGAGTGAAGCTGTGGGGTCTGGGGGGGTCTGAGCTGCTGGGACATCACGTGTTAATGCCCAGCTAGTACAGGGTGTTTTCCTTTTTTTTTTTTGTTTTGTTT